GTTCAGAGCCACAGTTCAGAGCCACAGTTCAGAGCCACGTTCAGGCCTGAGGGCACGGACGGATTATCAGAGGCACAGATAATGGAAGGTTTCATAGTTTGGTCCGTGTCCCATCTTCTAATATGACCTATACTGCAGCCAGCCACAAGGGGGCAGAAGATTTGGCTTCTCTTTTGGGAGCTGTCATGTCGTCCATCTTTATTTAGAGAGTGAAACCAATGTGGACGTGCCTGAAACGTGTATTCTGTGTCATGACCAGCAGAGGGCGACTCCACCGGTAGCAGAAATAAGTTTCCATAGATGTGATGAAGAACAGCTGTGAACTTTAACGTTTATCTGTCTGTGTGTTGCGTTCAGCGTTGCCGTGGCGATGCTCTGCAGCTTCCTGCTCGGTTTGGGCGACAGCTGCTTCAACACGCAGCTGCTCAGCATCGTTGGCGTCATGTTCCGCGACAACAGTGCTCCCGCCTTCGCCGTCTTCAAGTTCATCCAGGTGACTTTGAAATCTGCACGCTGGTTGTTCATTATTTGAATATGTGTTATTTCTCCTCATGTGTAACGTGTACGTTCCCCGACAGTCCATCATGGCCGCTCTAGCCTTCTTCTACAGTAACTACCTGCTGCTGCACTGGCAGCTGCTCATCCTGGTCCTGTCGGGTTTTCTGGGCTCGATGACGTTCTTCATGGCCGAGTGGATGGCCGAGTCCAACAGGCGGGAATCGGACTACGACAGCATCTGATCGGCTTCCGGTGAGGATGAGGAGAGCGCAGCTGAAAGGTTTCGCTCCCTGCAGCCGGGGACGATGAAGGTATCCTCACACAGACACTGTTTGGTTTTTACAGAGCCTGTCGACGGCGGCGGCTGAAAAACCAAACATTCCTCTCAACATTTATCTGAACTGAATCAAACGACGTGTGTGCACCCCAGATGTTTCTCATCAAGTTTCATCGCTGGCTTTTCTTTTCCTGGACAGTTTAAAAATGAATGTGGGTAAAATATGAAAATATACTTGGCATGACGGGGAGAGGTTTGTTTATCAAGTATCCAGCACTTTGAACTGGGGCGTGTGTCGGCACTGACCGGGCCTGAGGAGTAACACTGACCTTGAATCAGCTGCAGGTGAATGTTTCTCACCTGCAGCTGCTCTGAACTGACAAGTGGTGTTTTTCTATAATTTTCTCTTTCTCAACAAATCCCATGAAAAGAGCGAAACCAAAACTGAATGTGTCGCAGGATCACGTTTCACAGCCCGATTCCTCCGACCCACAGAAATCCATCGACTCCCAACGCTTCTGAAAACACGTCAGAGAGCTTCGCTGTTACACTGGTGACATCATCAGGACGAACACACGCACTCCGTGTATTCTGACGCAACAAATACAAGAATTAAACTAAATACCTGGGAGGTGTTTTTGCAAATTAAACAAGAATGGAGAACAAATACATTCAACAAGAAAGTTCAAGAAAGTTGAACATCCTGGATTTTGCTCGTTTATCCAGATCTGCATCAAAACCTTCGGTGGTTAATGTCTCACTCCTCCGCACAAATTCATGGAAATGGTTTGAGTAGATTTTGAGGTTTCCTCCGGACACTTCCTCCTCAGTGGAGGTAACCGGTGACCTCAGAGCGTCAACAAAGATGGACGACGCGTTTCCACTTCCTCCCTTTGTACAAAAACGAAGCTTGAATGTTCCGTGAACAAGCGTCTCCATCTTGTGATGTCATTCAGAGTCCGAGAACTTTCTCAAGTGACAGAAAACGTCTTTCACAAACATTTCATGTCTGGTTTGGTCCATGTCCCGTCTGCTAACATGGAGGAGGCAGGGTCATGATTGAGATACGTCGGAGCTGTCGTCCATGTTTGTTTAGAGTCTGGTTTCACTGAACTCGTTCTTTTTAGTTTTTTTCTCTTTCATGGGATTTATTAAAAGTTCAAAATAGAATAATTCCTGATCTTCACAAAAACATGACGCGTGTTCAAATCCCGCTCCGTACGTCTGACGCGACATTCTTCTTCCCTCTGAAGCAAAAGAGACTCAAAGACTAAGATTCAGTCCTCGTGAGGCTGCCGTGTTTCTGCCGTCTGTCCTTCCTGTCACAGAAATCACAGTTCCAGTGTAACTTGAACGACAGACAACGGTTTATGATGATTTCAGCCTGAGGAGCAGTTTAAAGGGAAACACCGTCAACAAACTGAACCTTTAGTGTGAAATCCATTTTCACCTCTTTTGTTCTGCAGTTTTTCGTGTTTCACTGCAACATCATTGGTTTAGTTTGGTTTGGTGAAAAGATCGTGTGTGGGTCGAACACGTTCATGATCACAACACGACAAATCTTCCTGAAGCGAGTCGTCACACAACCTCAGCTTTTATCTTGATGTTTTAGTTCACACGATGTTCACAGAGCTGCTGACGCAGATTCAGTCTTTTCTTTTAAATCACCAGCGTTGTACAAACATCCCCCCCCACCCTCTGTCCTTTCACACGTCCTCTTATCTAATGTTGTGGTGGAAAAAACAACCGATGCTGTAGTTTTGTTGCTCTTTTCTTTAAAATGTCTGAATGACAGCACACTGTGGGTAATTGAGTCAAATAAAACACCGGGCTGTGGGTTTGCTCACGTTTTATTTGACGTCCAAAATCAAATCTCAAGGATATTAAGGGAACTGCATGTGAAGATGATTTTATACTTGAATGTAATAATTACGAATGACTCCCCAACCTTCGCTTGCTTGTTTTTATTATCAATAAAATGTTATTTTGAACATAAACGTGTGTTGAAATAACGTGTGAAGTATTTGATCCCAATAATCTGAAGGAGCTGCAGTTGAAATGATTTTAAACTTTAATTCCAACCTTGTGGTTATTTGCTCTCCTGTGGTCGATGTGGACACTGGTCTGTTTGACGGTTTCATGAAAAGTGATGTTTCTACCTTCCTTCACTCAAGAGACCAAACCTGCAGAAACAAGAAATAAATCACTGCGGTCAAACATAAGATCGATTTTAAAAGAACTCAGACACTGAAGAATTCATTCATTTAAATATTTTTCCAGTTACATTTTTTATATTTATTAAATGTATTTTTCAAATCAAATGAAACTTGAGTCCAATGAAGAAACATTGAACGAATCTCATTTGAACTAAGTAAATGTACTTGGTTCTGATACTTGTACTGATACTGCAGTAGATCATATATTTAAACTACATTTATGTGATTGAACTAATAAATCAAGTCGTGCTCCTCTACAGGTCGTTCATTAAACTCAGTCATATTCATTAATAATCTTTTGTTCAGAGGAAGTTCAACATTTTTCCTGTTTCCTGCCTGGACTCTTGTTGCCTAGCAACCGGTAACACTGCCAGCGTGGGAATCCGGGTTGTCAAGCAGGAAACGGTTAAATACTACATCCGGTTCACAGCTTGAAAATAAAAGCCTTATTGTGAATCTATTTATTTTGGTATGTTTCAATAGAACCGAGGGAAATGAGAGAATAAACAGAAATGAATTATATAACATCCACATTCTGTTTGAGTAGCAGAAAAACTTCATGAACACAAAATGAGAAGAAATGTAAAGATAATAATTAAAGAACCAGAGTCAGTCTGATTCGAGTCAGCAGCAGCTGGTTGATTAGTTTAACAAGAGTTTGCATTGAACGACCAAACTTAAACAAATGTGAGGCTCAAACTTTGATTGGAAAAACTTCATTATTTCAAAATCACACTGAGTTTCCAGGATCCATTCATAAACTCTTACATTCATATCTAACCTGACTGATGTTTTACAAAAGTCACATTGAAGAATTCATGAGTGAGACGAAGTCCAGATGAAACTTTAAACAGGAAACCGTCTCTTCAGAGGTGAAGCAGCTCAATCAGCCTGATGGATGAACAGAGGCTTCCTGTTTTACTCTGAAGGGGAGCTGTGTGTGTTTCCGGTGTGAGTCTGTAGTTTGATTCTCTGACTTTGTCTCTGAACATTTTTCATCCAGTGAACCTGAGATTAGTTTGATACCGGAAACTGTGACTGACTCAGACACCGAGGGACGGTTCACCTGTTCACCTGTTTACCTGTTTACCTCTGTTTACTCACCTTTATTTACATGTGTTTAGATTTATTTACATTTATTTACATGTGTTTAGATTTATTTACAACTCGCTGAAGTTGTTCGTGTAGTTTAAGCTAACAGAGGTTAGCTAACGTTAAGAACTTAGTTAACTTTAAGAACTTTGTTAACTTTAATTACTTAGTTAACATTAAGAACTCAGCCCACATTTTTATGATTTAGCTAACTTAAGTAACTTAGCTAACTTTAGTAACTTAGTTAACTTTAGTAACTTAGCTAACTTTAATAACTTAGCTAACTTTAGTAACTTAGCTAACTTTAGTAACTTGGCTAACTTTTATCCATCAGTTAACTTTAATAACTCACATTGGGGTCAGGGCTACATTTGTATAACTTAGCTAACTTGAGTAACTTCAATAACTTAGTTAACTCTAATAACTAATCTCGGCTAACTTTAACCAGAGTAAACTTTGAGTGATCCAAGATGTCGGAGGACGTGGTCACCCTGGAGGGGTTGTTGGATTTATCCATCGGGACACCTCAGGGAACCGTCAACTTCACCGCCCTGCACGCGCTGCTCCACGCGGTGCTCCGGCAGCTCGGGATCCGGGAGCTGGAGACCCGCTGGAGGGACTCTCTCTCCGGCCACACTGCGGTGGGTGTCCCCGGCTCCGCAGAGGTGGGACCGCTGCAGGTGGAGGGGGACGTGGAGCCGGAGGCTCGCCCCGGCACCGAGCTCCAGGAGCGGGCAGCCTCTGCCTCGGACCCGGGATCCTCACCTGGCACCGCGGCTGCGGAGGACGAGAAGTTCCGGTCCCGCATCCAGAGCTGCGAGGACGGTGTGTCCGAGGTGAGGAACCGAACACACCCAGTTCAAATATATATATATACAGATAAATACTACATCTACAGAGTACCACAGAGTACTATCACTGTAAACATAAAACTACTGTTAATACTTCAACTGTAAACATAAAACTACTGTTAATACTACAACTGTAAACATATAAAACTACTTTATTTGTATATTTAATGAATCTTAAATAACACTCGATCATGTTAATGTGGTTAAACCACTTCAGTATTTATTTATATATATATGTATATATAAAAGTGTTTTTACTGTTGTTTTGATGTTTGTTCATGTTTGAAATCCTCCATTATATTATTTAGATATATTATATATAATATAATAATATTATTTATATATTATCTAGTATTTTCATTGTTAACACTCTGTTCTCTGGTATTAAGCAAATATAAATATATATAATAATAAATACTCCATGAAGGACAAAGTAACTCAGGATCAGTTTCTTACTTTTGTCAGTGAAGTTTGTGCTCAAGTCAATATTTGATTAATTTGTTGTAAATGTAATATTTTAAATATACTTGAACATCGACAGGTGAACTTCTTCACTGGTTCAAGGTGACGTCACAGAAAATCAATCAACTGTTTTATAAACTGACACTGATCCAGATCGAGGAGCTGGAGGAGCTGCTCCTCTTCAGATCGAGGAGCTAGAGGAGCTGCTCCTCTTCGGATCGAGGAGCTGCTCGTTGTTGATGACGCTCAGGAGACAGTGGACGTGTGATCGATTGTGTTTCACTGAGTTTGTCGACATGTTCAGGTGAAGTTGTGTCGTAGCCACACCCAGGAAGTGATTTCACACCAGGTGCTTCTTCTTTGTCGTCTGTTGTTGAACACGTGTGTGACATCACTGCCCGGGCGCCACCAGAGCTGCAACACGTTTCGAAGGTTCGGTTCAGATAAAGAAGTTCAGCAGCAGATTTTATTTTGAATTTTACTAATTTTATCTGTTTCCTGCTCGTCCTCGACGTTTCTCTCTGAGGCAGCTGATCGCTCTTCTTCTTCTTCTCTTCCCTCTCTGGCGGCGGCGGTGAACCTTTCAGCGTCGTGTTGAGCTGTTGATGACAGAACAGAACAATAGGAGACGGGCGCCACCCTGACATCTCAAATGACCCCTGCATGTCTCTGTTCAGGTTTCTGTCGAGCTGCTGGTATTAAGAGCTGAAGATGTGAACGTCAGCTGTTCTCTGAAGAACGTCAGCTGTTCTCTGAAGAACGTCAGCTTGATCACAGGAGAGCATTTGAAAGCTGGAGGTGTCTTCGTGACGCCGTCCAGACTTCCCGTCTCTCTCTGCTGATGTCGTGCGTCCTCTCTGTGTGATGGGGTAATTAGTCCCCTGCAGAGATGACTCCGGTTGTCAGGGGATGAATAGCTCTCAGGTGAAAAGCAGGACATCGTGCAGGTGATGCCGCGTCTTTCAGAACTCCGTCTGAATCATTCATGTCCTCGGTGGTCAACTGGTGTATCCGCTGACTTCACCCTGACGAGCTGACCCGGCGTGCCCTCGTCGTCTCTGTTCACCCCTGCTTTTTATTCACTGATGATTTTACAAAGTCAGTGACAGACAAAGAGACAAACAGACAAAGAGACAAAGAGACAAACAGACAAAGAGACAAA